TGTGCTCCGTCGTTTCGCGAAAACTTTCGCGATCGCGCAACTCGCCTTTTACTTTCAAAAATCGCATTGATAATGAGTGATGCGCTTTATCAATCTGATACAATTTTAATATTAATTTTTTCCCCGGAGACACATTGACCTTATATTATCGGGTAATTTGATCCGCCAAACAAGATTATGCGGAACAAACAGGGAAAAGAGAGAACATAGAAAAAAAAGAACAATTGATGAAAAAATTAATCTAATATTTGATGAGAATGTATCAATGTTCATTTTATTTCACAATGACAGAATTATAGATAATTATCTCTTTTCTAATTATTTATTATTTATTATTAGTGTCAGCTAAAGATCCTCGTGTTATTTAAGATACTATTCTCTGCGTGAATCATACTTTGGAAAACACTTTTATCTACGCAGAAAAATTACAGAAAATGTTAATCATCTTCTTCGCGACGACGCGTTCCACAAAGTTAGCTGGGATATTCCTTGGCAGGAAGCTTGTTTACGATTGCATTTTTGCGGAAAATACCTTCCGGGGCGAGAATACTCGCATGCTTCGATTCTATTTCGACGAACGGGAGCACGGGAGCGGACACGCTAGCGTATTTCTGTCAACTACTACATACGAAGTAGAAGGTTACCGCATGACATCAGTCCGGGAGCCATTACTACACTCTATTACTGCGTTCCCCGCGATGATAGCACAATCGCATTTTCTTCTATTACGAGAGTTACGGGCTCGCGATCGTCTATTAGGAATCTCGTCGGCGAGAAATCGCCGATGGAAACGTCGAATGGGATAAAGCGGCGCGATGGACGACGCGCGCGTCTTCGCTCGGAGATGTAAGCGGGACTCTTCAAGGTAATTAAAATCTTTGTGACGAGCGATTAGCGGATGAGTTTTTATTGACTGAAACAAGAACAGATCCGCGCGCGTGATAAGAGGCGCATGTACGAGAGAAACGTTGGGCGCGACATGTCTCTCTTACACACTTAATAAAACGACATAACGATGTCAGGCTTACGCAATCAGTTTCGCACGTTTTCAATTGTCTAAGGCATCGGGGTTGCAAACTGGGGCGCGAGGAAATTCTCGAGCAATAATATACAATAATATGAAGCGTATTAATATATCCAATTCACTCTCTTGGCAGGGGAAAAGAATATTAATATTTTTCAATTTATTTTCCAATTTTTTTTTCAATTTATTTTCAAATATTAATTTTATTATGTAGTGCTGTGTTTAAGGACAATATAAAGGGATATAATGCAAGTTTCGAAGATGTCTAGTTCGAAGCAAGCGGCAAATTTGCTAAAATTTAATCTTTAATTTAATTCGACGTAGCAACTTTTTATCTATTTAATCACATCTGTGCCATTTAATATGTTAATTATGAAAGAGTAGTTCGCTAATTTTTATTACAAACGTGACTGATTGCCTTGTCAATGGGCGCGCGGCTGCCGCGCCGGAGGAGAGTTACAAAGAGAAGCGTTTGTCGCGACCTAAAGCCACACATTCGCTCGGCGAACGAGCTCGGCATGCTGATATTTTGCAAGACGCGCAAATATGTGCATAAATAGATGTGCCCATCTTGTAATCATTACGCGAATAGTTCCGAGACGCTCCTCGGTCTTAACGGCCATATCTTTTCGCCTCGTGAAAGCAGGACGGCAATGAAGTCGGATTATCTCCTTCGCGCCGAGATGACTTCATCGAATGTGTTTCTTCAAGTTAACAATGTATTAAGGACAATTTTAAACAAAGCTACTCTTCTCTCTGTCCATTCTACACGCAACGTACAATTTAAAAAAATTATAAAATATATTCGCGAGCATGATTTTCTCTGGTCGCGTAGCTTTCGATGGTTAGTCATCATAGATTGACAATGATTTTGATGCTCGAGGCCGCCGCGCGAGAAATCGCAAATCGTTGATTCGATCGGCTTAACAGCGCAGCGCGTAAATAAGTGCCCCATCAATGCTAATGACGAGCGCACACGCCCGTGCAACCTCGTTCTTATTTTAGAATCCACTCGTATGTTTCCGCGAAAAGGTGTTACCGCCTTTCATTAAGCATCGTACGACAAAAAGCGCAGCGCTCTGGAACGTCCGTGATTCCTTTCGCCTGATCATCGATTAGTCCGATACATGTGTACTTTTTTTTTCTTTTACTGTATGCAATAAAGTCGCATCATAATTGTTATGTCAAATGGCATATAATACGTGGTTGTATTTCCAGAGCGATATTTTGCAATAGGTGCGCACGCGCAGAAAAACAAAGCTTAGCTATTAATCTTTAGCTATTGGTCAATAATCAGAGCTTTATTAGTGATATTATTTAGATTCTCGTATCTCTTAATTCGAAAAAAGTTTAATTATTATAAGTTGTTATATTTAATATATATCAAAGATTTAAGTACAGTATGAAATGCATGGTATCAGATACTTTGCATTTTCTTCTAAATTTAGATATTTTTTTATTTTTTCATTTTTTAAAAATAATTTTTCTTTTTAGTTTTAAAAGTTTCAGTGGCTGTCAACGAATCGGTGTTTTATTCCCGATCGTTATATACAAGAGCGAGGCATAGTATGCCTAGTTAACGTGCGTAACTCGCGCGCGAGACTCGCGCAAGTATGAGGTGGCAACCTTGAAACTGGGCACCACCTCCACCTTCGTCACTTCCATCAACTGTACCACCACTATCTCTCATGCGACGGGCAAGCCGACCGACAGCCGGTAGCAGGCACCAGCAGCAGCAGCAGCAGCAGCAGCAGTGGCGGCTGTTTCAGCAGCAACGCGCAGCAACAACTAATAGAACAAGAGGAGAAAGGGCGGACAAGAGGGGGAAGGAGGATAGGGCGGGAGCAACAGCGTTGGCGGAATGAAAGAGAGAAGGTTTCCCTCCCCACACGCGGCCCTTTCCTTTTCCTGCAACTCTCCCTCCCGGGACCCTCCTTTCTCGCGCTCTCCCTTCGGTGCTCTTATAGCCGTGCTAGCACGTCGTGCAAACGCGGGAAGCACAAACCGGATTCGCAATAAAACGAATCCCATCTCGAAATGCGCGCGAGAGGATCTAAACCTACACACGTTCAAGCTGGATCCTCTCTCGCTCTTTCTCTTTCCTCCTCCTCTTCCCGCACCCTCGCCCTCATCTCATTCCGGCTATCTCTTAACGTTCTTTGCTGCTACTTCCTCTCCCTTTGCCTTTCGCCGCGACCTCTCTTTCTCCGAGAGATTCACTCGCCCTCTCTCTCGCTCGTTGGCTCGAGTGAAAGGGACGCGGAAAGAAGGGATGATCGAACCTGTGCGTCGCACTGTGAGAAAGGTGCAAGTACAATCGTTGTCGACCGCTTCGTCTGGACGAGGGCAGTTAGAAAAGACTGGAGGAGAGAGAGAGAGAGAGAGAGAGAGAGAAAGAGAGTAAAAAAAGAGAATGAAAAAAGATTAATAAGAAGGGCTGGGCGAGATAAAGAGAAGGGAGCAGAATTGGAAGTAGTATCGAGAGGAAGGGTGAAATTGTCTCACGAGAGAAAAAAATTAGGGTAAATTATTCTCCTTTCAAATATCGTTCTGCATCATTAATCTTTGCTTTTGACGCGTTCAACAGCAATACTTAATTTTCGGAATTAAGGAAAAGGATTAGGTATTTATATTTTCATAATTACAATGGTAACAGTGTTCTTATTTTATTTTGACTGTCACATTTATAAAAATGAAATCAGTGAATTAGAAGACTGTATCTAATTATAATCGTGCATGAGTCATTGAATTAAGAACAGTTGTTGTATTCTAGATTGTGATAAGGAGATTACAGATAATACCGAAAAACTTTATAAATTATTGCAATTTCAAAAATTACGATACTTTCATATTGTCAGTCAAAGCGAAACATGGATTGATATTTTATAATTTAATTAGTATTTTTGATATTGAGAAATTTATTGACACAAATATTTAAAGATTTATTTCTAATTATTTAAATTTTTATTTCTCAATTGAAAAATTTTAATCGAAAATAAATAAAGTGAGATAATGATAATATACGAAAACAGATCGAAGAAAATTTTCAGAAAGCGAACGATCGTAAGTGCAAGAACATGTCGTTTTAAAAAAAGCCGAGGCTCAGAGTCTCGAAAGCGTAAACACATTACGAAGGCGGGAACGGGGGTAAGAGCAAAGTGTTTAATTGCATGTATTGCCGAGGCAACGAGAGGAGGAGGACCTTGCGATTCTCCCCTCTCTCTCTCTCTCCTTCTTTCTCCTCTTTTTCGCGCATAATGATAAACAGCAGCCGTGTGCTCCCTACAACGATTACGCAACGCCGCTTGGCCTTCTCTCGCGTACCGATTGTAAATTAGACCGCATCATAAATAAATAAATAGCGCGCAAACGGCATCACCGATCGTCGTCGGATAAATCGACGGACCGGATTCGCGACAATCAAACAAGCGTGATAATTATACCGCGCGATTAATATATTGCACGAGTGATAGCGATGTGCAAATATTTGCGCGTACGCAGGCGTGAGAAATGCGCGGCGCTTCTTCCGGAAATAATACGCCTTCGCTCTTATACGATTCGATTCAGCTTGACTCGATGTATTATTCAGTGATAAATCATTTCGCCCGCTAGCGATATTTATTTATTTCTTTTTCTCTTTCGAATGTGCATGGTCGAGGTTTTATTCGCGAAACAGACATCAGCGTGCAAAAACATCGATTAATCGTCGATACCGGGCGTGCTAATCTCCAGGAATCTGTATACGAGGGATATTACCCGCTCGTAAGTCTATATTTGCCCACAAAAGGTCACGGATTTCTCATCGATTAACGATTAAATGATTGGTTGAGCAGTTGACATTTTTCACGGTTATACGAAAAGGGTAAATCTCCCGGGTTGGCGAATATTTATTATTCGAATCAACCTGAAGGTAATCAACAACAACTAAATTGATTAGCAATGAAACGTTTCGGATAAAAAAAAGACACATAAACTATTATATTGATTCTTTTATATTAACTATACTTGATATACGTACATCGAAGAATTTTACAATTGTATTGAATTAAATTTCTTTACTATAAAACATTATTTTTACTAAAATAATCACGCACTAATACATATTCTCGTATGTTTGTTAAATTATTTACTACGTTAAGTAATGTAAACTCGTCATGCGTAATTTATGTGCCTTAGCAGATATTTGTGTGCACAGATATTATAAATCTAAAAAATTAATTAACAAAGTTATGAATACATGATATGATGTCGGACATTCCCAAGTGCATCGTTAAGTGTACGACGTCTGGATAAAGGTCTTAAAAGAATCAAATAAATTTTGCGATTCAAGCGTCGTTTCGTCAGCTGTTTTCTACAGATGAAGACGCGAAAGGCGGGAAGGAGGAAGACCGCGTAAAGGCGCCGTCACACGGGACTCGCTGCATCAGCTGTTCCACGACCTCCTTTCCACGCGGCCCTCGAACGAGATTCGTCTGGCGCGCTAAGTATAGCCGTCGGTCGCATTGCTGTAATCATCGTGCGTATCACAGATTCGCCGATCGTCGATGACAATCCGCCGTGACGGTGGAAAAAATGGAGCTGCTCGTCAGGTCGCGAATTATAAAGCAACGTCGGTGCAGCATATTAGCCACTAAATAACAAATCTACGATGGCAATCGAACATTTACACGCGATTTTCGTTAACGAGCGACACGCGCGTTCCTTTGCGTACCCCAGTTGACTTGCGTAACGCACTTTTCAGTTGACCCCGTCTCGACGCTCGTTTCAAAAGACTGAAGACAATCGCGCGACTTCAATGAAGGCTTTGTTACATAAAATAATGACGAAGCAGTATATTTATTAATGCACATGTATTTTATCCTTCAACATGATGGTTTGTTCACGAAAACGCGTTCTCATACCTAGCGATTGATAATTAATCCTCGTAATGCGTGCTTTAATTCTTATTTGTTTGTCAGAGTATGATGTCGTAAGTTAGAATTGAAACCGATGTAATATCACCGACTTTATTTTTCAATGCCGATAAATGTAAGCGCGGAGATTGTTTTCGTTCGCCTGCAGCATCGAAATCTTTGACTTCACCAAAATTATACCGGTTTCGATTCTTTCTCTACGTTTGATTGCGAGCTACGTGTTCGCCGATCGAACGAAACTCCACGTTTCCTGGCGAACGGAGGTAACGGACATTAAACCGGCCGTGTTTACCGTCGAATCGTTCAAGCATTTTGCGATCGATTGCTTGTAAAACGCCGCCGCAACCAGCGACCAGCATCGTCGATATAATTCTTGATGAGAAAGAGATCTTTATGCTGCGCCTGTGTTTTTTTCGAAAAAGAGTGCAAAAGAGGAAAAAGAACGACAGAGAGGGAAATAGAAAGAGAGAGAAAGGAAGAAGTGGACGGAAGTGTTATGCAGAGAAAGGCGAGAGAAAGGAAAAGCCAGAGTGATAAAGCGATCGATCTGTTGTTTCGTGAACGCTTGAAGATAATGCGCCGATTCTTCTCATGCGCGCAAAAGACACAAGAAGAATGCAGGTTAAAGGAGAGTAGGAAAAATAGAAAAAGAGCGTTTTTAATTCATACGATTTGTTACAGAATATTTTAGTTTTCAATTTTTATATATCCAAATTGTCCTGCATTTCATTTGAGATAAAATGTTGAAAGGTGCTCTCTTCAGACAAACAATAAGAAAAACATTGTAATTTTCGTAATTTAGTATGTTTAGTTAAAGAGAGAAAAAATTGATATGATATGATCTTTGTTGGCTCTGCGAGTAGGAAAATCTGTAGAATTATATCGGTTTAAAAATGAGAATTGACACTATCTAACAAGAAAACGATACTTATTTAATTCACGTCTGATTCCTTCCGAGACTCGTTGTCGACTTACTTAATACATGAAACAGAACTTTGAGAATATTTGAAAAAGGAAAGGAAATATAATTAATAAGCAGAGATAGACAACAAGGACGTAGAAGGTAAACACAAGCGCGAGGCGTTCGAATAAATTCGGTTACATGAAACAAATTAGATAACGATATTAGAATTTATAGAAGAGTTTTCAAATAAAGTTAATAAACAGAAAATAGATTATTCTTCACTAAACAAGATTTCATAATTTTAATAATGAGTTAAAAAAGTTATATTTGAAAATGACGGATAATAAATACAAAGATAATTTACAAATAAAAGAGATACAACAATATATATTGCGAGTTAATGTAAAAAGAAAGAAGTGAATAGAAAGATCGATGAGTTGGCATTAAAGAGAGGAGACTCTGGTTAAAGCGTTATAATAGCATAATAGAAAAATGGCAGAGAAAAGGAAACATGGGTCAGGACGTAGGAGTGGCGATACATCACCAATGCTGAGGTGGAAGAAAAAAAGATGTATAGAAACAGAAAAAGATGGACGGAATGAGGAGGCGGAGTAAGAAATTGTATGGATACAGTATGGAGTCCACAACCAAAGTGATGAATTGAAAGAAGAAAAAAGAAATGAGAGAAAAGCGAGCGATGCAAAAACGGAAGGGATGAAAGGGCGGAGTAGAAATTGCAGGTACAACGCGAAGAGGGAAGGAAAGAAATGTGCGAAAGAAAGAACGAACGGAGATGTGGAGGAAGGAACGTGTCAGGAAGTTGTGAAGGACACACGAGGGACCAGGAAGAAGCGCCGAGATCGCACGGCGATCCTTGCAGTCTTCTCTCTCTCTCTCTCTCTCTCTCTCTCTCTCTCTCTTATTCTCTCTGTCTCCATTCTTACATATTACGCGCACGGGCTTTTATATTACACCATTGCGACGATGAGGAGCGTCTCTATTTCGATGCGTTCGAATGAGGAAGACAGGAACATAGTACAGACCATATATTCAGCCTAGTGTGCGTAGATTTCGCGTACGCTAGAGAGGTATTGAGAGAAAGATAAAGAAATGGAAAAGAAGTCTGAGAGAGCCGAGACTGAGGGAGAGAGAGCGAGTTAGAATAGATGAAAGAATGTGAGAGAAAGGGAGAAAGAGAGAGAGAGGGAAAGACAAGGAGAGAGATAGAGGGCCAAGTTAAAGAGACATCGAAATGACACGGCGAGCTAAACTTGTGGCACTTCTCGATGCTAATGCCGCATTCGCAAGCGTGGTAAACGTCAGGGCTTTACGAGAACTTGATGTCCCTTGTGGATTTTGTAACCGCGAGTCGCGGCTTCGCCTCTCTCAGTTATTCAAATTGTATTCGTCTGTCCTGTCTGGCCTGCGATGCTCTCGTTATTCTTTCCACTTCGCTTCGCATTTCATGAAATCCCGCCATCAGCGAAGGATAACGCAATGTGACGCGCGAAGATAAATTCCAGATTTGGGATAATTCTCAGTCTGATCAGAACTTCAATCGCGTTTGGCCGTCGAATTAATGTCACGGCAGCGACATCAGCGACAGTGAGTGAAAGCACGAAATATTCACCGAGGTATCATTATCGCGTGATTAACGCCGATACGCGTAATTAAAAAATATTTGCTCCATACCGCAGTTTTGTGTATCGCGGTATAATCGCGCGGCGATAATGATTTAGCGCGCCGAACGTAATGACAGCGTATATCGTCGATTTATTCGGCCATTTCTCTCTCTCTCTCTCTCTCTTATTCTCTCTGTCTCCATTCTTACATATTACGCGCACGGGCTTTTATATTACACCATTGCGACGATGAGGAGCGTCTCTATTTCGATGCGTTCGAATGAGGAAGACAGGAACATAGTACAGACCATATATTCAGCCTAGTGTGCGTAGATTTCGCGTACGCTAGAGAGGTATTGAGAGAAAGATAAAGAAATGGAAAAGAAGTCTGAGAGAGCCGAGACTGAGGGAGAGAGAGCGAGTTAGAATAGATGAAAGAATGTGAGAGAAAGGGAGAAAGAGAGAGAGAGGGAAAGACAAGGAGAGAGATCCCACCTGGCCTCCTCTCTACCACTACCGATCCGCCACACTGCCGCTACAACTACCACTGTCACCGTCGCCACACCACCACTACCGGCGTATGTCGCTGCACTCATTGGATACATTAGAGTATCGCTGATGTGCCACCACTACCAACGTGCCGGTAACCACCACCATCGCCACCACCTCCTGCCGACCGTCCGACTCTACCTCTCTTCGCGCTTACCTAGGACCAGACAGAGAAAGAGGGAGCGCGAACGCGCGAGGGGGAGAGTGAGAACGGGAGAGAGAAAGAAAGAGAGAGAAAGAGAGATTGATTGAGAGAAAGAGATAGGTAGAGAGAGAGTGAGAGAGGGTCCCGGCTTTGCGCAAAAGTTACGACGGAGCGAAGAGCAGTGAGACACACCGCGGAGACCGGAAGAGAACCCTCTCTCCCTGAAGAAGTCCTCTGACAAGAGGAGCGAAAGAGAGAGAAAGAGAGAGAGAGAGAGAGAGAGAGAAGAAAGAGAGAGAGAGAGAGAAAGAGAAAGAGCGACACCTAACCAATAAGACCTAGGCAAGAGAGCTATTTGTAATGCAATAGTGAGAGCACCAGTGGGGAAAGAAAGAGTGGAGGAAGGTGGTGGTAGGTGGAGCGCTTATAGTGGGGGAGAAAGAGCGAGAAAGGAAGGACAGGAGATAGATGGATGCAGAGAGAGAGAGAGAGAGAGATAGGGAGACGAAGGAAAAGAAAGAGAGAGAGAGAGAGAGAAAGAGAGTCGTTCTCGACGAAGGGGAAAGAGAAGGAGAGAGATAGAGATAGAAAGACACCAATGGAGAATCATGCTCCAATAAAAACAGACAGAGACCAGAGAGTTTGCTCTTATCGTGACGCCTGCGCCTGTGCATGTGCATTCTGACAGCGCACATAAGCCACACGCGTACACGCACACATATGCGGTTGCTCATAGTTATATATATATATATATATATATATATATATATATATATATATATATATAGAGAGAGAGAGAGAGAGAGATAGGGAGACGAAGGAAAAGAAAGAGAGAGAGAGAGAGAGAAAGAGAGTCGTTCTCGACGAAGAACCAATACTACGATCCCTTTACAAACGAACTCACGGACTCGTACGGCCTCCTCCTTTCTGGACGCAGAGTATATCGTCGTGAGTTCTCGATGGAGAGAGACGCGCTTTACGGACCCTCAACCCTTTCTGAATTTGTTTGTAAGCCCAAGGGGCCCACCTGGCCTCCTCTCTACCACTACCGATCCGCCACACTGCCGCTACAACTACCACTGTCACCGTCGCCACACCACCACTACCGGCGTATGTCGCTGCACTCATTGGATACATTAGAGTATCGCTGATGTGCCACCACTACCAACGTGCCGGTAACCACCACCATCGCCACCACCTCCTGCCGACCGTCCGACTCTACCTCTCTTCGCGCTTACCTAGGACCAGACAGAGAAAGAGGGAGCGCGAACGCGCGAGGGGGAGAGTGAGAACGGGAGAGAGAAAGAAAGAGAGAGAAAGAGAGATTGATTGAGAGAAAGAGATAGGTAGAGAGAGAGTGAGAGAGGGTCCCGGCTTTGCGCAAAAGTTACGACGGAGCGAAGAGCAGTGAGACACACCGCGGAGACCGGAAGAGAACCCTCTCTCCCTGAAGAAGTCCTCTGACAAGAGGAGCGAAAGAGAGAGAAAGAGAGAGAGAGAGAGAGAGAGAACTAAAAAAGAGGGAGGTGGAGAGAGAAAGAGAGAGAGAAAAAGAGAGAGAGAGAAAGAGTGACAGTAAACATACTTGCAGAAAATATACGTCGTTCTAATCGAGAGTGTCACCGCCTGTGCGAGCGCGGAAGTGCGTTACAGGCTATCACGAGTAAAACCGACAACAAGCATCCTCACACGCTGTCCGTCGCGTGAGGACACGTGCTACGCGATCTAAGTGTCTCCTTTTCTCCGGACATCCCGCGGGATCAACTCGTTCGGATCTCCTATTGTCACTTGTGATCGGAACGATTTTTCAATGTGAACCCTTTCGAACGAGCGTCTCGTTGTATTGTCATTTTTGACATTTTTGCGAGTGACATATTTGAGGATACTACCCGTGTGACACGTGTGTTTGTTCGCACGTGTTTTCGTCGGCGCACGTGCTTTCCAAGACGTCCAAGAGAGAAGAGTTGCGAGAAAAGAAAGTCCGAAAGACTTTTGACAGTTCCAGCTTGCGTGTCAGACTTAGCTCTGTCTTTCGAAAGTTCATTCTGATCTTGCGATGATTGACGCTTGTCAACGAAGAAGAGATATAAGGAAGTGAGAAAGGAGCAGCGGAGAAAAAAAAAGGAAGAAAGGGACAAGAAGAGAAAATTGAGGAAGAGAAAGAGAAGAGGAAGAAGAAGCAGAAGAAGCCTCGAAGCGGAGACCAGGACTCGCCGCACGCTCGCCGCTTACGTATCAGCAAGAGCGGGCCGTGTTGTGTAAGAGCTGAAAGTAAAAGTTGAAACCGCCGTGACTTGAGCTCGCGGGAGCGCGTGCTGCGCGCGCTAAAATCCGATCCTGCCTCTTGTAAGCTGCGGGCACAGCCGAATATCTCTCGCCTCTCTCTTTCCGCCCGTCTTTCTCCGGTGATTTTTGTGTGTTCTTTCTCCCAAAGATAGACAGAAAAAAGAGACAATAAGAAAGAGAGAGAGAGAGAGAGAGAGAGAGTGCGCGCGCGTGTGTGGTATATGTGTGTTTTTGCGCGTCCGGATTCGCATAATCACCGACGCCTCCTCTTCGACGCCCTTGACGAGAAACGCCGCGGAGGACGTGGAGGATCTATCCGTGGAAGTCGGAGAGGGCGTGCTAGGG